ATTTAAAGAAAAATTGATACATGGCTGTTTTCTTCAGGTGCTGAAACTATGATTATACTTGTCAGTCAGTCCATGGGCCAGAGTGTTAAAAGTGGAACTTTTGCAAAAGTAGAAGTTTTATCTCTGCCAAACGGCCCAAACCTTCTATTACTGGACACTGTTGGGCTAATGGTGACCCAAAATGAGCCCAGTCTAAAGACCACCAAGAAAGATACTAATACGTTGGAAAAAGAGTATGACTACTTTCCTTGTGTCGACCATTGAAGTTATTTGAATCGACCCAACTCAATCTTATGCACCAATTTCTTGAATGTGAATTGTGAATAAGTCAAATTGATTGTCACTTGATTGTATTTATTGATTTCAATATCGCAATTATTTGAAACTCGTGCACACATAAGAATTTTGCTTAAATACGCTCCTTTAGTTTTCTATCAATATAGCCTCCTTAGAGATTTATGATATAATATGAGGCTTGTTTGGTAGTGATTATGAGAAATGATTTTTTGACCGTAAAAAGAAAAGCGAATCCCACATGTGAGTGAAGAAATGAAAAATAAATTTTATTTGTGAGTGAAGAAGTAAAAAATAATCGCAGAATAGTGAAATAACGATTAAAAAATTAATTTTTTGGGGTGAAAAATTGCTATTAAACGAGGGCATGATGGAGAAAAATCGTGGTCAAGTTCCTTGTCTCCATTTAATAACATAGAAGGGAAAAGTCATATACAGAAATCGCAACAAAAATTTAGGGGCTTGGGGGAAAATAAAGTTTTCTTTATTGTAAATCCAGCTTTTTTCAAAAGAATAGTTTGTGTATGAATGTTCGTAATAAAATATCTTTTTATGGGTAAAGTTCATCCATTGACATCATCGATAAACTTAGATTTTTTGTGAAAAAAATATCACTTTCATGAAAAAAATTCGTGGTTGAAGTTGACCCCAAAAAACAAAAAAAAAAACAAAAAACCAAAAACAAAAAAAACCAAAAACAAAAAAATGGAAAAACAAAAAGCTGGAGTTGTAACAAGAATTCCAGTCAATTTTGATTAAAATTAGTCAAAGTTGAACGTGTTATAAAATACTTTATAAATAAAGTAAATGAAAATTACAATATTTTAGACATTTAAAGATCAGAATGCGCGAAAATCATGTAGGAAAGTTTTTTATTCAAAATTCAGGTATTAATTTAATTATTAATATTAATATAAAATAATTCAATCCTATTTCAATTCATCCCAATTTTATTCTAAATCCTAGGTTAAGATCAGACTCTCCTCTCTCACCACTCCCTATGATTGGCGTCGCTGCAAGAAGACCGACGCCGTTTCAAGAGAGCGCAGCCGTCTGCAAGAGGCGCGGCAATGACCTAAGCAGCACCGTCTGCAAGAGTTTCCCAGGAACACATTGCTGTGAGGATCTCTACCCAAGGTGTGCCATACGGAGATGTTGACGGTGTTGGTGGCGGCGAACAATGTTGATGGTGTTGGTCTTGGTGGTGGGGACCAGTTTTGCAGGTGAGGTGTTGGTGGTGGTGGACGATAGTGATGGTGTTGATGGTATTGGTGGCAGTTTTTCAAATCGAAGATGTGCGGTAACATTTTTGCAGGTGATATGTTGATATTTGTG